CAATACTCTGATGTTCCAGAGTCCAGGTTTAGAGTGAGAGCCACATCAATGTCATGAGCAGCAAACAGGGATCTTCTGGAGTGATCTTCAGGATCTAACCTGACAGTAGCTGACATGAGGATTCATCCAGCAATCATGTTGCTTCTGCATGTGAACTTGGTGGGACCCATGCTATGTAAGAACTGAGCTAAGAGGGCAGTTTCTCAGTGTCTGACTCTTTGTGACCCCATTTGGAGTTCTCTTGGCAAAGATACTGAAGTGGCTTGCCATTTCCTTCTTTAGCTCATTTTACAGATGAGGAAACTGAGGCAAAAAGGGTTAAGTGACTTTCCTGGCTAGTAAGTATCTGAGATTACATTTGAACTCAGGTCTTCCCGACTTCAGGCCTGACATTCTATTCACTGTAGCATCGAGCTACCCTGTCGGTGTTGGAAGGAAATGTTTTTTTACTTTGTATTTACTATATCACTTTGTAAAAGCTAATTGATACTATGTGGTTAAATGGAACTGGGGCTCTAGTCATCGGGACTTAACAGTGGAAGGAACACAGTGGTGAAGACTCAAGCAGATGGTAGTAGGAATATCATCTCCAAACCCCTCAGGATATGCTATAATGATATGGGGCAGATGTAGCCTTCCTGGTTCAGGGTTGGTGAGCCAGTGTGTTCTAGCTTCATATGACTATCATTATAATGGTGAACATTGAACATCTTAATCTATTCTAACTAAGTGGACTTGGATTCTGAACTTCTATTACAATAAGACCTTCATTTAGGGAAAAAGAGGGAGACTAGAGGGAATAATATATCTTAGTTTTAAAATTATGTTCTGTTCAGATGTGTTTAAATTCAACATTCTGAGGGGAAAATACACTGTATTGGTCTGAATTTAGTCTGGACCTCTACAATGAGAGTTCTTCAAAAGGAAAAAAATACAGTTATGTACTGAAAAATGATTACACAGAATTACATTATTAAAAAAAAAACCACGGCCTGTTTGTAAGATAACCGATTTTGAAAGTAAAAGTAGCTAGGATTGTGAAACTTTCTCTTCTCAGTGAATTGTGCTGGAGGGAGTATCTAGCTTTCTCTGCCCACACCATGCCACTGCCCTACCATGGATGATACCACAGGAAGGCATTTGGAGTTAACTCTGTCTGCCAATCCCCTGAATGAAAGATCAGGAGAGCTGACAAGGGTATGAGAGTGAGCTGTTATGAAATTTTCCAGGAGAGTAGAATGATACCCAAGGGCATTCAGGGCTAAACCAGAGATGCTCATAATGGTGAAATGTGCTTGGGGAGTTGAGAGACTTTTGGAGTTGACGACAGAATCCTTTTGTTGGACAATGAAACTAACCGAGATGTAGGCGTCATAGTCGACTCATGGCTGGGCTGACAAGAGGACACCAAGGACCTTCAGTCATTTTCTTCCTTCCCACCCACCCATACCTTGGAGGGTGGGGTTACTCTTTCCTTGGGGTGTGGCTCTCTCTCCAGCCGCAGCCACCTCTGCTTTCCCTCCTCTCAGCATGACTGGTTTCCTTTCCAACCTGGCCACGGGTAAGGGCAGATGGCTGACTCAGTGCCAGCCACTTAGCTTCCTGCGCTGTCACTGACTTGTTTTGATGTCTGTAGTTACCCTGGGGAATGTTTTCTCTCTGCTCAAGGAAGTTGTTAAAATAAATCAATAACTCTTTCCTTTGTCCCAGAGTCTCCAGCTCTACAGAAATTTTACTCTGGCAAATACAGTAGTTTTAAATTTCTGCCTTTCTGGATCGTTCTCAATAACTGCCCACCCCACCCCCCTCCAGCAACTCAAGCAATAGCACATACAGATTAGCAATTCAGTTGATCACCGGCTTTATCACATTTAATGGTTTAAGAAGTAAAAACACTTAAACACATAAAGGTAAATACCTCCCAAAGGAAGTTCACTTGTTCCCTTGGGAGAGAGAGGGAAGGGGGAAGGGAAAATGAAGGTCATCAGTCTTGGCCTGAGCCTGAATGGATTACCACCTAGAGTATGGATTATGTATGCTTCATTCACACTCTTTCTGCTCAGGAATCCTGAGTGTAGCCACTGGTGAACTCCCATTTTTGTTGTTTATAGTTTTCCTGGCAAGGATACTGGAGTCATTTGTCATTTCCTTCTCCAGCTCATTTTACAGATGAAGAACTGAAGCTAATGGGGTTAAGTGACTTGCCCAGAGTCACACAGTTAGTCAGTGTCTGAGGCCAGATTTGAACTCAGGATGATGAGTCTTCCCGACTCTAAGCCCAATGCTCTATCCACTGCACCACCCTAGCTACCTGAACTCCCATATACTCTTTTATTTTTAATTTAATTTTTTTTCAATTAACAAATATTTATTTTATCTCCCTCCTACCTCCCCCCCATTAAAAAAAATCCTTCTAACAAATATGCATAGTAAAGTAAAACAAATTCCCTCATTGATGTTTAAAAAGATGTTTCTGTCTGTATCCTGAGTCTATCAGCTCTCAGTCAGGAGGTGAGTAATAGGTTTCATCATCAATCCTCAGGAATCAAGGTCAGGCATTGCACTGATCAGAGCTCTTAAGTCTTTGAAAGTTTATCATTACAATGTTGTTATTATATAACTCGTTCTCTTGGTCCAGGTCACTTCACTCTGAATGAGGTCATACAAATCTTCTGAAGTGCCATTACTTATGGCACAATAGTATTCCATGACATTCATATACTATAATTTGTTCACCCACTGCCCAGTTGATGAGTGCTTCCCATATAGTCTTCATAGTGGTATACTCGTCCTTCTTGACTTTTACCAATGTCAAACTCTTCCTTTCCCTTGGGTAGGAGGTTCTTTCACCTTTCCCAAAGCTACCACAGGCTGGAGCAGTGTTTCCAAAGTGTTTTGTCCATTCCTCCTCCCCAGCTCTTGGCAACTTCTGGAAAGATTTTTACATAGGGATTCCTGGGGCCAAGAAGAAACCCTGGGGTTTCAGAACAGCCAGGGAGGACCAGTAGCATTTGCTAGAGGATGGCAGGCGGAGCCATGCTGCTCCAAGGACAAGAGGAATCACAGAGAGAAGCCCCAGGGCTGCAATGAGCAATGAGAGTGCTGGATCAGAAAGGATTCTAATGACTGGTTCACTGGATGAAGAAGCTTTTTATAATGTGGCTTCTTATGATACAGATGTTTCAGTCTCAATGTCCTGAGGGCAATGTGTATCCCAGGCTAGGAACTATGAGCCATTTCAGAGGGCCTGGCTGTTTTTCCTGGAGAACTGAAGGGAATTTGTCTGCTTCTCGTTCCAAATCATGACCCCGCTTGCTAAGTGGCGCCTCTTGGGAATCTAGAATCACATTCCTCGGCACTTCCAGGCACCGTCTTGACTCATATTCCTTCTCTCCTCTACCCCCCTTCTATCTCTTCAGCTTGGTCTCATGCTTCCCCTCGATGTATTAACTTGGACCAAATCAAAGTGACTAACAAAACTAGGCTTTTAATTCCCTACCTGGGTTCAATTTGACCCTGAGATTTCCACACATTGCAGAAAGCAGGTTTTGTACGTAAACTGTTGACATAGTATGTTCTGCTGGAGAGATGCTGTGGGAGAGGGACACCCCAGGAGAAGCAAAGGGGAAGAAAGGCTATGATTCTTTAGGGCCCTATCTTTGGAGGATGGGGTCCAAGAAAAATTTCTCTGGTAGGAGAACTTTGCAGGGGATCCTGCTCTTTATGGGCTGTCCTATTCTTGGTGGTGCAGTGGATAGAACACCAGGTCTGGAATCAGAAAGATCTGAGTTCAAATCTGGCTGCAGACACTGACTAGCTGTGTGACCCTGGACGCTTTGACTCAGTTTCCTCATCTGTAAAATGACCTGGGGAAGGGAATGGCAAACCACACCAGTATCTTTGCCAAGAATACCCCAAATAGGGTCACAAAGAGTTGGACGTGACTGAAACAAATAAGCAACAACAACATGCCCATTTCATGAACATTGCCCTTCTAAAGGCAATGAGTTATATACTGATTGACTGGTGACAGTCATTATCTACTAACACTTTATTTTTAAAATTAAATTAAAGGTTTTTAGTGAAGAAAAATCCACTTTCTCTCCCAACCACCTTTCCTCCTATTGAAAAAAAAAAGGAAAAATGAGAAACAAAACTCTTGTAACAAATCAGCATTATCAAGGAAAACAGATTCCCACATTGGTAACATCCAAAAAACACACGTCACTTTCTTCAGCCTAAGCCCGTCACCTCTCTGTCAGGAGCTGGGAGATGTTCACACCTAAGTTTTGAGATTTTCTGTTCCCTCCCCACAACTTCTCCTGCCCCCTGTCAAGCAACTGACCATTAAAAAAAATCAAATCTAAAAATGGAAGGAGGAAAATGTCCAGATAAAATTGCATCTCCATAGCAGAATGAATGACATAGGAAGAATAACAGCGGAGGGGGTACCCAGCACCTTCCAGAACAAAATAAATCCTATGAACCAGGAAGAAGATTGAAAAGAATGTTTACAAACTCAGCTACCTAAAGGTTGTCCTATGGGAATGGAATCATGTGGACTACATCATGATGCACTTTAAGGATAATTATCTTTAGATTGGAAAGAGCAAAACCAGATATGGTTAAGAGGAAATTAAAGGTGAAGATAGGTATGAAGAGAGGGTTTTTTTAAAGCCCATTAAGAGCTCTAAATGAGTTAAACTACCCTGTCTTAGATGAATTATACCACAGGCTACTGGAAGTATTTGCAGATGTGAGAGATGAGCTACTACTGGGAAGTTTTTAGTAGTTACAGAGAATTGGAGAGATAACAAGATTAGAGATGGGTAACTTTCAATTTTCAAAAGGGGTGAAAATATTCTACAAACCATAGACTAGTGAATTTTATGCTGATTCACAGAAGAATTCTGGACTACTTTGCTAAATGGATAAAAGGGGAATCAGTGATCCCAGGGAGCTACGGAAAGTTCAATAAAAACAAGTCAACCTAGACTTACCTCATTTGAGTTTTCGAGGGCTTTAGAGAAATGAAGCTGAAGACATGAAGCTTGGCAGGATACCTCCCCTGTTGAATGATAGAATCAGGATGTCAACATGCTAGAATCTAGCACAGTCTAGATGAAATTTAATAGGCATAAGTGGAAAGGCATTGATGCAAGCTTATGGGGCTCAGTCTTTCACAGCGAGGGAGAGGGACACAGTAGGAGCCGCAGCCAAATATGGCTGATGAATTTACAGGTGTGGTTAAGTCACTGTCTGAGGGCACACAGGTAAGTGTGGGGGGATTTGAAACAGGGTCCTCTGGCTCCAGAATCAATGCACTTTATGCAGTAGGATGGTGTTTTTTCCATATGGTGGAGCTCACACAGCATCAAAGACACTGTACAATGTAAATATCCCTTTCTCTTGATCTGTATGTGATTAGTATGTTTATGCAAATACAGCAGTTTCCCTACCCTGGACTGGTACCTCTTGGAAATGCACCAACTTTTTTTATGTGTATTGTTTGAATATAGAACATTACATTCCTCAGTTGCTCTGGGTCACTCTAACCTGCCCTCTTAGTCTGGTCAGAGTCAGCCTGTTCTGTACCCTTTTCTGTCCAAGGACTGGAACCAAATGAGGCCCTGTGGGTGGTGGCAGATGGACAGGAGACATGTATCCTCTGTAGACCTTGTCTACAATAAGTTTATACATTGTTAATAAATTACATTTGGTATATCTTAAGCTTAAAGACTCTATCCCCATTTCTTGAAATCCTATACAAAAATACCGACCTGTCCCCATTTCTCTCTCTCTCTCTCTCTCTCTCTCTCTCTCTCTCTCTCTCTCTCTCTCTCTCTCTCTCTCTCTCTCTCTCTCTCTTCTCTCTCTCTTTCTTTCTTCTAGTTCTTCTTAACTCAAGTTTAATATACACGGGCCTCTCATGGCCCTAAACTCACAACTGATCTGCTTGGAAATTTTGATCTGCTCTACTTCTAACCTGGGACAGTTCCCCTCTCCTTAGGTAGTCTGCTGCCCCCCAACCCTCTCTGGCATTTCACCATACAAATGGTTGGTTGGCTTAGTGAGGACACTTGATCACAACTCCCAAACTCTAGCGATCCATCAGCCTCAACTTCTCCAGTAGCAGGAATTACAGGTGTGTGCCACCATGCCTAAGGGCAGTGCCAAAAATTTATTTGTACTAATATAGTATGGAGATAGCATGGTGAGGCAACAGATCATCTGAAAAAGTCTTTATGGGGGCCTTAAATCTTAAGGGCCAGCAGTGTGACGATAAGAGCCAATGTCATTATAGGCTACACAGATATCTCGCATCCAGAGCGGGAGTGTATGATAGTCTTTTCAGCATGGCCTAAGATTACATTAGCGCTTTTGGCAGTCCTGATCAGATTATATCTGGAGAATTGCATGCCATGTGGGAAGGACAATAAGGAAAACTAGTACATGTTCAGAGGAAGGCAACTTAGATGGTGAGAAGTCTGGGAAATATGCCATATGGGGATCAGCTGAAGAAATTGAGGCTGTGTAGCCCGGAGAATGGAAGACTTAAGGAGAACACGATGGCTCTTTTTAAGTACGTGAAAAGCCACTGTATAGAGGGGTGATTAGCCTTGTTCCATTTGGTCCAGGGAGGGCAGAGCTAGGAACAAGGAGTGAAAACTAAAGAGAGGGAGGTTTCTGCTCATTACAACAAAATTTCTAACGATTAGAACTGTTGAAAAGTGGAATGAGCTCTGTTTGGGGGTGGTGAATTTCCTCTCATTTGAGATCTTGAAGCAGATGTTGAATAAACACTTGCTTGAGATATTATAGGGGGGATTCTTGTTCTGGTATAGCTTGGCCTATGTAACCCCATCAGTTCCCCTCCAAACTGGAGATTCTATGAGTCTGAGACTTATCGATATAAAGGTAAGAGTCTTGAAATTTTTGAAACCTCATTAGTAAGGTGTTCAACTTATTCCTTGTAGCTCCAGACAGCAAAGCTAGAACCAGTGAATGAAATTTACAGAAAAATCAAATTCAATATAGGGATAAACTTCACAATTAGAGCTATATGAAAACATAATAGGCCACTTCTTCAAATGGTGTGATTCCCATCCCTGGAAGTATTCAAGAAGAAGCTGGATGGTCATTTGTGACAAATGTTGTGACGGGATTCTTTTCATCTTGTAGGATGTTAGGCTAGGTGACCTTTAACAGCTCTTTTCAACTCTATGGTGAAAGATCTACCATCAACACTTATATTCCATGTGTTCCCTTAAATAATTAAATAATCCAATAATCCTTAAAAGCTCAATTAAGGGAATCTTGTGAGCTTTTTTTATATAAAATAAATTAGGAAAGAGATTTTATTAGTCTGGATTATAAATTAGGATGTCTGTAGATGGGGGATAATAATAGTACCTACCTCAGGTTTGTTGTGAGAGTCAAATGAGCCAATATATGTTAAGCACTTTGCAAATCTTAAATTGCTATACAAATGCCAGCTATTAGTGTAATTATTATTTGAGATTTTCTTAAGGTGAGGCACACTTGTATATCAAACTGTAAATTTAATTTGTGGTGAGGGGAGAGGAAAATCTCAAATAGAAATATCTAATACAGCTAACGCGACATGGCCAACATTAAAAGGGAATTTAGGTCAAGTACCCGACTTGTGGGAAGAATACAAATTTAGTCTAATAGTGTTGAAAAAATTCAACTCTCAATACCAGTCTGGACCAGTTGTCCAGACAGCAGCCAATGGGAATAGCCCTATTAAGCACCTGAAGTGTTTAATGATGAACTTTCCCCTTTTGTTTTGAGGCACATTCCAGGCCCCACTAAATGTTTCTCTTGTAACTTGATCTGATCCCTGCAATTTGCAGCCCACACCCAATGCTCAAGATTTCAAGAGCTCAGTGAACCCCAGGAAGAACATTTGACCAATTATTTTAGTTTGAATGCTTCTTGGCACCCAAGATATGGTTTGGAGATCCTCCACTTTTTATGAAATGTGACTTAGGAAAGAGAAGAAAGGACAGGAAGAACAGAGACTGGAACAAGGTGTGCTGAAGTGGGGCTCCCGAGAGCCTTCAACTCAGACAATCCCAGAGGAGTTAAGCATTACCCTCAGGGTACCCCCTGGGAAGCCTAAGGGATTGGAAGGAAAAAAAGAGAAACTTTGAAAGACTTTGATAGGGTTAGTCATCAAAAGCTACATATAAAAAAGAATTACTTAGAATTACACTGGGGGATTAAAAAAAAACAAACCCAACACCACAACAGTTTAATAGTATGCAACGGGGCATATAGCACCCAAAATGCTTTAGAGATAGAAAAGGGGGGTGTAGGATGAATAGACACTTCTGTAGATAGAGAAATATTAGCATTCAAATCCCCCAGGGAGTGTCGAAAATGAACTTTTAAAACATCTAAGTAATCTGGCTGAGTAAGTGTACAGTGTTCCTGAAGCTAGGCCCTTCCTGCTACTGAAATGCCAAAATGATGGGGAAATACTGGAGGGTGTACTTACAAAAACGGACTGAGCATGCAGATGAGTTTCAGTGTGGGCAAGTGTAAGGTAAGACATTCAAGGAAGCTTTTACTCCAAAGAATGTTGGTCTTCTGTTGCTCCAGTAACCATACTATTTCCCAGTCACCTCTATGACTCCACGAGTGGGACTTGTGCTTGTGATGAATTGTACTTTGCCCCAGATGCACATGAGTAGTGTGTACTTCTTTTTTTTTTTTTTGAGAGAAATCATCTCTGAATTATATAGGTTCATATCTAGTCAATGCCTTTCCCCCAAAAATCTACTTTGAACAAAACCTTAAGTGAAGCCTATCCCTAATTGTCCTTTTCTGGCCCATCTGTAGCCTCCCAGAGTAAGAGCCAAGAGTTGAATTTGGAGATTAAAGTTGGCCCCTATGGCCTCTTTGCCCCCCACTAAGTTGTTGAGTTGTATTTTCCTCCAGTATCTGTTTACCTCCACTGTCACCACATATCCCAAGTCTCTTCACTCTGGCCTGCAGCAGAGACAGCTCCTCTACCTACTCTCCTCAGTCCAACAATCAAATCAATCGATGATCAATCAACCAACATTTATTAAGTACTTACTGTATGCCAAGCACTGTGGTAGATACTGAAGATACTAAGATAAAAACAAAACAAAACAGTTCCTGCCCTTAAGGACCTAACCTTCTAATCTAATTTCACAATATAAACATTTCTGTACAGTAATCTGGTCAATTTTGAATGTATATGTATATATACATAAGTATGTATTTCAAAGAAATTGGTTTTTAGGCCCAGTACATTTGAGCCAATATAGGAACATAATTTAACATAAACATGGGTTGATTTACTTGTATATTTGTAGTAGGCAAGAAAGTAACTGGCAAATAGTGTTCTATCGCAGAAAGGATACTGGACTTGGAATCTAAAGGCCTGAGTTTGAGTTCCGGTTCCACTGTGTTATTGAACAATCACTTTACCTCTCTGGGCCTCAGTTTCTTTATTTGTAAAATGAGGTGGTTGGACTAGATCCTCTGTAAGTTTCCCTCCAGCGACAAACACTTCTCTTTCATTCTATGAAATGAGTAGGGAAGAAAATCGAGATTCTGGTGTCCAGGGTAGGGATGGGAAATGGAAATATACAAAGCAGATAAGAGGGGACAAAGAAAGAAGTGAGTTGGGGGGGAGGGGAATCCAACTAGAGAAGAGAAAATAGTAAGTTAAGAGAATCAGCCAAGAAATTGGTCTAGTCTGGACACAGCAAACAGACTTGTGGAGAAGCATTTCAGAATGTAGAGATCAAAGAAGATAAAAGAACTCGCCTGGGATGGAGAGCAGTTACTTAGAGATTATTTTAGGCCTTCATCGCTCAACAGGCTGGGCCTGGATAACCAGCCAGGAGCCTCTTTCCTCAAGGATCGGTGGAACTGAGACATCACTTTAGCTGGTAGAGGAAGGAGGGGAGAACACTAACCCAGTCGTCTCATCAGCTTGATAACATGGGATTCTATTTTCCTGTTCTCCCTGGCCTGGCCCAATATCTCACAGCATAGCTCCTCAAATTCTGCAAGTTAAGGCTTTTCCTTGGCTAAGGAGCCAGAGGAATGAGGAAAGCAGGAGAAACAGTAATCAGTAATGAGAAAGAGTAATCCAAAGAGTAATAAATGCTCAGTGCCGGTAAACAAGAGTCTGAGGGACCACAGGCAAACTTTATCCGGGGGACAAAGATGAATCCAAATTGAGGTCCAAACATTTAGTTATGGAAATAAAGTTCAGTTCAATTTAACAACAGCTTATTAAGCTCCTACTGTCAGTCAGTCAATAAACATTTATTAAACCGCTACTATGTGCCTGGCTCAGTGCTAAAATCTGAGGATCCAAAAAGAGGTAAAAGCCTGTCCCTGCCCTCAAGGGGCTTACAACCTAACTGGAGAGACAATAAGCAGACAAATATATGTACAACAAACTATACAGGGATAAATAGGAAATAATTAAGAGAGAGAAGGCACTAGAATTAAGAGGGGTTGGGAAAAGCTTCCGGTAGAAGGTGAGGTTTAAATTGGAAAATAGGGGCAGCTAGGTGGCGCAGTGGATAGAGCACCAGCCCTGAAGTCAGGAGGACCTGAGTTCAAATACGGCCTCAGACCAAACACTCAACACTTACTAGCTGTGTGACCCTGGGCAAGTCACTTAACCCCAATTGCCTAAAAACAAAAATCAAATAAACTGGAAAATAAACAAAGTCAGGGGAGCCAGTAGGCAGAGGTGAGGAGGAAGAACATTTCAGGCATGGGGGACAGCCAGAGAGGATGCCCAGAGCTGAGAAGTGGAGTATCGTGTTTGTAGTATCCGATATGTCAGGCACAGTGTGGTATTATGGATAGTGAACCACGGTTGGTGCTGGGAAGCCTGGGTATCACATGCTGTCTGACATACAGTAGCTTTGTGACCTTTGAGATATCACTTAACCTCTGAGCACCCCTGAGTAGAAACTGAAAACAAGTGATGATCTGGATTAGTAGAGAGACCTTCTCTCCTAAGAAATTCTTATTCCAATGAAACCACAGGTCTAAACAACAACAAAAACTTGTGTTATGTACTGAGGTTGGTATTTGGTATTGAGAGAGAGAGAGAGAGAGAGAGAGAGAGACTCTGTCCTTGCCCTCAGGAAGCTTACATTGGATGGAATGGGGGCAGAGTGGGGAGAGTGGAGTGGGAAAACAACTTGCCACATACACAGATGAACATATAGATAAAAATACAGTATGAGGAAGATCAGAGAAGCAATTCACTGTTTTAGAAAGGGCACTGGATTTAGAGTTCCAGGATTCAAGTTCCAGCTTTGATATCTATCAGTCATACGACTTTGGGTGAGTTGTTAACAGGCAGCTAGCTGGTGTAGTGGATAAAGTGTTCATCCTGAGTCAGATAGACTTGAGTTCAAATCCAGATACTAAGTAGCTTTGTAAACCCTCGGCAAGTCACTTAACCTGTTTGCCCCAGCTTCCTCAAAAAAAAAAAAATCAAATGGGAATAATAATAGCACCTACCTGGAAGGGCTGTTGTAAGGATCAAATGAGATCATAGTTGTAGAGTGCTTGACACAGTACCTGGAACATTGTAGGTCCTTAATAAATGCTTGTTTCCAGACCCACAGGTACAAAAATATTTATAGCAGCTCTTTTGGTGGTGGCAAAGAACTGGAATTTGAGGGGGTGCTCATCCATTGGGGAATGGCTGAACAAGTTGTGGTATATGAATGTAATGGAATAGTATTGTTCTATAAGAAATGATGAGTAAGTACATTTCAGAAAAACCTGGAAGGATTTACATGAACTGATGCTGAGTAAAGTGAGCAGAACCAGGAGAACATGGTACACAGTAACAGCAACATTATGCGATAATCAACTTGGATTGATTTAGTTCTTCTCAGCAATGCAATGATCTAAAACAATTTCAAAAAACTAATGATGGAAAATGCTATCCACATCCAGAGAAAGAACTATGGAGTCTGCATGCAGATTGGAGCATATTATTTTCTCTATTTTTTTCTTTCTCGTGCTTTTTCCCTTTTGTTCTGAGTCTTCTTTCATAACATGACTAATGTGGAAATATATTTAATATGAGTTTACATGTATAGTCTATATCAGATTGTATGCTGTCTTGAGAAGAGGGGAAGGGCTCCGGAGGGAAGGGAGGGAGGGAGAAAAAAAATTTGGAACTCAAAATCTCATAAAAGTGAATGTTGAGGGGCAGCTAGGTGGTGCAGTGGATAGAGCTCTAGCCTTGGAGTCAGGAGGACCTGAGTTCAAATGTGACCTCAGATACTTGACACATACTACCTCAAGTCACTTAACCCCTCACCAAAAAGCAAGGGGAAACAAAGTGAATTTTGAAAACTATCTTTACATGTAATTAGAAAAAATAAAACACTATTAAGTTAGAAAAAAACTTGCTTCTTTCCTCTAAGCCTCAGTTTCCTCATCACTAAAATGGGTATACTAATAATATTTGCACTAATCCCTCCTCTGACCTACCATTTCACACGGTTTTTGTAAGGAAAGTTGCTATGAAAGTCTTAAAACATATTAGAAATGAGTTACTTTTCTTGCTGTTTTTTTTTAAAGGGCAAGAGTCCAGAGCAACATCAAATATTCAAGAGCAAACAAACCCCTTTTTTTTTCTCCAAGGGAAGCCATTTGTGGTAGAGCCCACAGCAGATATTTGTCTGTACAGTGCATATTCTTTGATGCTTTCAAGGTTGGAAGAGACCATAGATAATATCTAATTCAATCCCCTCATGGGGAAACTGAAGCCCAGAGAGGTTAAATAAATTGGGATTATAGGATCACAAATCACAGATTTAGAGCAAAAGGAGCCTTAGAGAAAATCTAGGCCAAATTTCACGTTTTATAAATGATGAGAATGGCCAGATAGGGGAATGCTGGTGAGCTGCCTGAAGTCACAGGGGAAGTCAACGCCAGCATTTGCACCCAGCTCCCCAGACTTCTACCGCACCCAGCTCTTTTCACCATATTTATTTCTGTACTATAGTTTTTCAACTTGACTATAATTTGTTCCCTGAAAATTTTCACACTGTAATTGATTCCTTGCAATCTATAAGCAGTTGATCATGTGACATTGCTGAAGGAATTAACTAAGGCTGAAGGTTTTAAGTTACAGTCTAAAGTGATCCCTCTCCCTTTCAATCTCTAGGTTTGTGGCAGTAGCTACCAGTTGCTAACATAGGGAGCCTTCTGCTTAGGGGCTGTGCCCGACGTTTCTCTGGAGAAAGCAAGTCTAGGAATGGTTCCCATGTGTGGCACTTTATGGGATAGATGTATTCCTGAAAAGGTAGCCTATAAATTGGATTTCTATAAAGAAAATCACATTTCTTCATTGATTTCCATCTTAAAATTTTGAAATGTGTTTATATTGGGAAACTCCCTCTAAGAGAACTGAAGTAGAAAAACCCTTGGAATGGAAAGGGTTAAGATGGTGACCAGCTCCATGGCCTCCTGGGCATAGCAGTATACTGGCAGGCACAGGGCTTTAGAATAGCTGTAGAACCTTCTCCATTTTCCCCTCC